AGAGACCCCATCTCAACCAAGTCCCCAGGCACGGTGCTGCGTTCCTGTAGCCCCGGGAAATCGGTACCTGTCGATAAAGGCCAGGGCCTCCCTGGTGATGAGGGACGACACCCTGTCCTCCCTGAGGGGCTGCTGGACGATGTCGTGGTTCCTCATGAGGACGCAGTTCCAGCGCCGCACGAACCCGTAACTCGAGTACCAGGACAGGAAGAAGAGGACGGCCACCAGGGCCAGAGTGACAATGACAGCCCAGGGCACCAGGACCCAGCGGGCGCAGACGGGGACGAGCAGGAGGACGGGGAGCAGGGCGAGGACCGCCGTGCTCACCCACATCTTGATGCGCAGCTGCCGGTGCAGCTCCGGGACCCGGCCACTCTGACACTCGTTCAGAAGTCCCAAAGGCATCCCGAAAAAGTAGTCGAAGCCGTGGTTGAGCGGGTGGTGGCAGTGGTCGTTGCGCGAGGCGCAGCTCAGGCCCTGGTGCCACTTTCCTGGAGGGGACACAACGTCGCGGTTGTCACCGTGTCGCTGCTGTCGGCAGTTTGTGCGAAGGACTCATGATGGCTGCAGCAACGGCAGCCAGGTTGCGCCATGAGGCTGCGCGTGCAAGATGGCCGACGTCAAGCGACAGGAAGTGTAGAATGACTGTATGAAAGGGGTCCAGTTTACACGGGTCTCTGGGTTCCCCTGAAAATGCGTCTGAAGATGCCAAGAAGGCCACCGACGTCCTGTGACCCCATCACCTAACCCTGTCACACTGAACCCAGGCGGGATGGCCGACTCCACGTCCCCAGTATTGTACTCAAAAATCCTGGCCGCTTTCGAGCAACTGCAGAGACGACTGGAGAACTCCCGGCCACTGTCTGTGCAGACCAGTCCCGATGTCGGGGACCTGCGCCCCACATCCCAATGCCGGGGACCATCCCCCCCCCATGTCCCAGTGACAGGCAAGAAAAATTTAGCAAGACCCCATGTCAACCAACAAGGCAGCTATGGTGGCAGACGACTGCAATCCCAGCCACTGAAAAGTTACAAATCGGGAGGATCCAGGTGGGAGATTGGTCCAGACAGAAAGAAAGACCCCGTCTGAACCAACGAGGCAAGCATGGCGGTGTACGCCTGCCATGTCGGGTCCTTGGGAGGCAGACATCAAGTATTTGAGGCCAGCCACGCGACAACTGAGAGACCCCATCTCACCCAACTAGCCAGGCATGTTGTGCCATTCCTGTAGTCTCAGGGACGACAAAACCCCATAA